CGAGGGCCTCTAGTATCCTTTACAATAGGTGCTCTGACTAGAGATTCTAGGACATTCTGGGAGAATGGAAACTCTGATTGCTTTTGCCCCTCCTTTTTCCAGCTTCCCTGTGGGATTCCATGCTCTACTCTGCAGTTAGGAAAGATTTATTCTCTCTTCACCTCTCCAGGATGGCTTGGGAATTTTTCTTCCCCTCAACCTCTTCCCTACCTTTTCACTTTTCAAATGGTATTAATTTTGGGAAAGTGGTTCTTAATTATTTACCACACAGTCCTCTGGCAGACTGCAAGACTCCAGGGCAGAGGGGAAGAGAAAGGCCAACAGAAGGCTGAAAGCTTAAGCTAATGGCTTCCTTCATGAGAAATTCTGTTATCATAAGGTGGTGTTTTATTTAGGTTGTAGTTCTTAGTTGTAGAGCAGGTATTACATTTATGTCTTCCTCGTGTCAGCTTGGAATGTGTTGTGGCTAATGTAATATTTTCTTTAGTGAAATAGCAGTAAAACCAAGGCAGAAAAAAACACACACAAACAAACAAACAAACAAAAAACCAAACACACACACACACACACACACACACACACACACACACACTGAAGGGAAGGGCAAGCCAAAGCTCCTAAGGGGTAAGTTAACTTGGAGTTGGTAATCCTTATGGCCTATCCCAGAGTCACAGTGGCCAGGTTTGTAATGATCTTTACATTATTTTTAAAAACATGTTTTTACTGATTTCAGAGAGAGGAAGGGAGAGGGAGAGAGAGATAGAAACATCAATGAGAAACATTCATCAGCTGCCTCCTGTACGCCCCCTACTGGGGATTGAGCCCACAACCTGGGCATGTATCCCTGACCTGGAATTGAACCTGCCACCTCTAGGTGCATGGGATGATGTTCAACCAATTGAGCCAACCAGTTGGGCTTTGTATTATTTAATTACGAAATTTTACTTCTAGCCTGATGCCACAGTTTAACATTGTTCTCATTCCCTGCTTAATTTGTCTCCAGAGCCTTATCTCCTTCTCATGTGCTACATAACTCACTTATTATTATTATATTTTATTACATAAATGTCTGACATCCCCTGGAAAATGTAAGCTCTCTTAAGGACAGGAATTTTTGCTTGTTTTGTTTATTCATGCAGGGCCTAGAATTGTCCTGGTACTGGGTAGATGCACAATAAATATCTGTTGAATACATGAATTATTAATCCTGATCAAAGCAATATTAATAAATAACAACTATGATCAAGTTTCTTTCTACATGTATTTAATTTATAGACAGCAGTTGGGCATTTACAAAGCAGTTGATGGTCAAAAACCACACAGAACCCATTTTCATCAGCATGGTATGCGCTTCTAAACATAGACATGGGAAGATAAGCCTGTGTCGGTGGGAATGGGAAATCTGGTGGTTTCTGATGCAGGTGGACTTACATGAACCCCTAAAACAAAGGCTGTGGTCTGGCTCAGTGTACTCATAACAAGTTCATGGGCTGCTGACGACCCTCATGAAACATGATCACTAATTTTATATTCCCATTTCTGGACAAAGCATTATCGTCCAATTCTAAAATTCTCGGTACAGGATCAGGCATTTTACTGGGACTCAAAACATAAAAGATGAAAAGAGGAGTGTAGTAATTATGTGAGAGTTTCCTTGTACTTGACATCATTATAATCACAGGACATGCTTCCCAGCAATGACATGGCAGCGTACTCTGAGGACCATAGTGGCTGCTACAGCTCTTCCTTTCCCCCCAAGACTCCTACTTCCAGGGCCAGTCTAGTGTAATCTGAGAGTCAGGTAACCTCCCTCTCCCATTCAGTGTGTCCTGCAGAACTGATAAAAGACTAGACTTATCTAGAAGCAGGAGGAACAACTGGCCTCAATGGACTTGGATTAATATTATGAGTGAGTGAGTGCATCCAAAAAGATAGGGCATTGCAAGCAAATTCTCTATAGGACTACATGAATTACATTTGATTTGTTTCTAACCAGAAGAGAGCCTTGGCAGGTGTGTAAACACATGCAAATCACATAGCTGTGTAACACCTGTGCCACATTTTATTACTTCCTATATTTCAATGTGACCCTTGGGAAAAAGCCTCATGTAAAATATTGGCCTAGTGGTAAATGGGGATTCATGAATCTCAAGTTCTAAACCATCTATTGTTCTTAATATCTTGGATAATTTATAAAATCTATATTGAGATCTAATTCATATACCACACAATTCACACATTTAACGGACACAGTTCAATGGTTTTTAGTATACTCACAGTTATGCAACCATCACCAGTCAATTTCAGAGCATTTTCATCACTCCAAAAAGACACCTTGCCTTTTTAGCAGTCACTCCCCATTCTTCCCCAACTCCACCCTCCATTCCAGCCACAGGCAAACACGAGTTTACTTTCTCTCTTTGTGGGATTGCCTATTGTGAATATAACACAATATGTGGTCTTCATTCACTTAGCATAATCTTTTCAATGTTCATTCCTTTGTACTGCTGAATAATACTCCATTGTTCCAGTCCACATCACACTTTATCCATTCATCAGTCAACACTTGGGTGTTTTCACTTTTTGACTATTTTGAATAATGCTCCTGTAAACATTGGTGTACAAGTTCTTACATGGACATAGGTTTTCAATTCTCTTAGATGTAAACCTAAGAGTGAAATGGCTGGGTTATATGGTACCTCTATATTCAACCTTTTCAGAACTACCAAGCTATTTTCCACAGCAGCTCAACATTTCATATTCCTACCAACCATATATGATGGTTCCAATTTCTCTATCCCTGCTCCAACAATTGTTATATGCTTTTTTATTATAGCCATTTGGTTGGTGTGAAGTGATATTCTGTAGTTTTTATCTTCATTTCCCTAAAAGTAATGATAGTAGGCACATTTTCATGTGTTGATTGGACATCTTTGAAGAAATTCTGTTTCTAGAGAATTGTCTAAAATCTCGTGCCTGACAGGGGTGGCTCAGTGGTTGAGCATTGACCTATGAACCAGGAGGTCACGGTTTGATTCCGTGGTCAGGACACATGCTCGGGTTGCAGGCTTGAGCCCCAGTCGCGGGCGTGCAGAAGGCAGCTGATCACTGATTCTTTCTCATCATTGATGTTTTTTTCTCTTTCTCCCTTCCTCTTTGAAATCAATAAAAATATATTTAAAAATAAAAAAAATCTTTGCCCACTTTAAAATGGGTTATTGGTCTTTTCGTTGTTTAGTTTTTCTTCTTTGCCTTAAGAATGAGGGATGGTTGGAGGAAGACAGCCTCAGACCTCTCACCTAATCTTGACTAGATTAGAGCTTCTGCAACATAAAGCCGGGAGGGTTAGATGCTGGTAGCCTGCTTTTCTCAGAAATATACTATAGCTCTAGACTGGGATTGAGGTTGGGAAGGAGCCCTGTGTTCTTGGCTGCTCCTACCTGGAGTACTATCATACCCACCTGGAAGGGGGCAGGGAAGTAGGTTGTGGAACTCTTGCTGTTCTTACTGAAATTTAGTAGTTTGTTTTGAATAATTTTTCTGTATTTGTTGCATTTTCTCAGGACAATTTCTAGAGACTAAATTGTTGTTTGCCTACAATTTTCACCAGTTATTGTTGTGTTGCTAAAGAGTGGGTTTACGGAGCTCTTCATTCCAACATTCTGAAGGTTGAGTCCCATTTGAATAATTTTTAATGAAGATTTTGCATCTTGTATACTTGGTGGTAAAATCATTTATGCTGACATAGTAGATATAGAATTAGGAGGGACAGTTTTTACAAAAGTATTTGTAACAGAAGTTTTTACAAACAGGGGGTTAAGAAACCTGATAGAAGTTGAGGGCTGATTGACTTTCAACTTCAAATCCAGTCAAATTCTAAACTGCCTATGCATTTGGTTTGACAAACCATTCTTAATTTATTGTTATTAAATAGTTGCATAGAAATGTTTGAAGAATGAAGGTGGATGCATTTCATATGAAAGTTTGTTGTTGCTCTAGTAATATATGTACAAAGCCATCAGAACTACTGAAACAGCATTCAAAATGATGCCTATTTTAAAAAGCATAGGATTATAATTAATTCTGATGTAAAAATCAAGGTCCTAATACCTCACTAGTTTTATACAATACTCTAAAAAGTTCACAAACAAAAATGACCATGTTATTTCTTAATTTTTGTTTCATCCATTACCGTGCTACAAAGAGTTTTAGAAAAACAACATTCCCAACATTCCTGATGCATTTATTTGTGGTTTTAGGGCAAATACTTACATTTAACAATTCTTCCAATTCTTTATTTGATCATGGCTGAGCTCATATGTTAATTGCCAACTAGGTGAATTTCACTTGAGTTGAAATAGATCTCTGAATTAGAATCTCTGCCCATATCGAAAATCTTTCTCTCCATTCCCACAACCCCATGGCAAAGTTAACTATTATACCTTCCTTCTTGGGTTTAGAAGTCTGGGTTACTTATAAGTGATCAGTTAAGCACTCTTGAGAAAATACACACTATTAATAATTATGAGAAAATGTCGAATGTATTTCTTGGAAATCCATCACTCTTGGGGCAGTTCACTCGTGTGTATTATTGTCTGAAATAGCTTATGGGCAAAAGGTATTGCGTAAGAGTCTGAAAGTAGATAAAGAGGAATATTTAAGAATGAAACCAAGCACCTCCCAATGATATCTCCCTGAATAGCTATCTCTGAACTGCACAAAGATAAGTAATGAAAGTCATTTACAAAGTAATTTTCTCTTCTCTTGGCTTGGAAAGTTTCAGTAATAAAGTTTGGTGTCTGTTGAGTGAAACATCATAGTTTCTCACATGGTTCAAGGCAAATGGAAAAAAAACACCCTTTGAATTCTTAAAATTTTAATGCAGTTAAATAATACACTGATAAATGGCATTAAAGCTCGGTACTGTTTTTCCCCTATAAAGGCAGAAATTGTATCCTACTAAAATGATGTTTCAAGCAGATATTTCCGAAGATGCTTACCTCCCGGTTGGGTGTACCTCTCTGCGGCTTAGGTGAGCGCCAGCGCCTTGGCGCCTCTCCAGATGCTGCGAGCTGCGAGCTTCCCCCTGCGCCCGGCGCCTCCGAGCTTCCCAGAGTGGGGTGTTCGGCCCCGCCGCCTGCCCTATTGCCAAAACTCCAATCTGCCAGACCGATTAATTATTGACAAAAGGAAAACACTCCCACGCAAACTTGTGTCCAACCGCGCTGCTCCAGCGACTCCTCGCAGAGCTGCACCACTCCCCTCCCCCTTTGCTCTACGGTCCCAACTTCCCACAGGCTGCCTCTGGCTGTCAGCGCTGGGCGCTCGGGCTGGTCCCGGGAGGAATGCCGCCCTGCGACTTCCACATTCTAAAATTCGGTTTCCTGCGGCTCGTAGCACCCCCCGGGCTCGGCCTCTCGGGTGCAGGACCTTGGGGAGGCTGGGGAAGGCGGCTTCTGAGAGCAGCCGAGGAGGCTGAGGCGTCCCTGTCACCTCCGGCTACTGCAGTAAAAGCCCGAGCGCAGCCGAGGCGGGGATGGGGAGGAGGGATAGGGAGGCGCCCTCCCCCCCCCCCTCGGGCTGGGAGCCCCGACACTGCCAAAGGGGCACATCCTTCGGAGGGGTTGGGGAGGAGCAGAAAACCTGGGGGCGCGAGGTGGACGCTCTGGGGCTTTAGCCTACAGGCCGGCGTTCACCTGCCAGGAGACAGCCAGTGCCCGGGCGCATCCCTCCGCAGACACCGGCGAGGGGCCGAAGCCCGGGCGCCCAGCGGGACTGCGGTGGGAAAGTCGGCAGCAGCCTGCGGAGTGAGCCCAGGGCTCGGCGCGCATCAGTTAGCCAACGGGCATCCCACTGCTTTTTTAAGTGTCTGAAACCGAAGAAGAAAGCAAACCCTTTTGCACGGGCAGCTAATTTCTGTGCCTTTGGACCCCCCCCCCCCCCCCCCCCCCGGCAATCCATCCATTCTGCCACCTTCCCTGCACCCCGTGGCTGGAGGTCAATGCTGAGAAGCTGGACTCGCCAGGGAGACAGATGGAAGGACTGCCCTGGGGAACTCGTGTGTGCGCACTCACAAGTGGGAAGAGTTAATTTGGGCCCGGACTGCAGCAGGAAGCAAACTGGGGAGAGTGCGGGGAGGGGGCTGGGTGCTGCAGACACCGCGCTCAGTTGTCTTCCCGCGGAGGTGCAGGCCCGCAAAGAACCTCTATCGCGGAAACCGGCGCAGACACCATCGATCCCTTCTCCACCGAGGGAACTGCTTGGATTCAACGCGGTAGCTGCGAGCGCAGAGGCCCTGGAGGCTCTCACCCCTGATGTCTGCGTAGCCGAGCCGCTTTGGGCCCAAGGGGCGTCGGGGGAGAAAGCCTCGTTTGATGAATGAGCGTTTGGGCGACACCCGACAGTCAGCCCGCACTGGCACTGCCGGAGGAGGGGGAGGCACCGCACATGCCGGCCATAGCTGACTCGGCAGTAGTGCGAGTTTGAGCTGCTGGCAGCTTTCTGCTCATTCTCCCAACATTCTTCCAGCAGGTTCCAAGCCGCCGGTGCTCAGTAGAGGGAGACTTGTATGACTGGGCTGGGGTTTCTCCACGCGGAAGCGGGGTGCCCCAAGGGGAGCTGAAGGGAACCAATAGAAACTGAGCACCTTGGAGCCTGTGTTGGAAGTTTTCCATCGTTCTCTTTCCCTTCTCCTGTATCTAAATATTAGCAACCGCTGTTGATTAAATGTCTTAGATTTCGTCATCACTTGTGTTGCTCACATACCTTAGCTCCTGGCTTCTCCCGACAACCCCGGTAACCTTGGCAAAGCAAACACGATCGCCCCCATCTGGAGAGATGAGGAACTGGAAGCCCCAAAAGTGACTTGCCCAGGGTCACAAAACCTGCTTTGTGGTAGGGCCAATACTATTGACACTAGTTTGCAGGTATCTGGCTTCTCACTAGATCGTGACACACGCACCCCACCCCCAGGGGGTTGTACATTTGGGGAAGAAACAGGTCTCACTTCCTGCCAAAGGTTTGGGACATGGATATGAGACCTTGCATCCAGACCATTAAAAATGATCTTAAATGACACTCGTGTAATACAACAATATTACAATATTGTAATACAACCATATACAGATACACCTTTCTCCCCCTCTCTCTCCCTACCCCCTCTCCTCCCCGCCCCCTTTTTGGTACCAAGTACCTGTGACTTATTCAACTCTGTGTTCTATAAACCGTTTTTTCCCCAGGGAGACACACTGTTTATCCTCTATTCCAGACCAATATCAAACACACTTTAACCCCGTATCGCATGCTTGGAGACAGAGCTCTTCGCGTCCGTTATCACTTTAAAGATGTTTACTAAAATAGTAGTTGATAAGAAATAGAAATATTTGGGTTTTGAAAGTAGAAATTAGCTTCAAGGTAAAAACTTCCTATTTTATAGAGACAGAATGATAGATTAGTACATCGAGGATAAAAAGTTGTGCATTTTTGTTGGTTTTGATTTTGTTCTAATTTGCCAGCAGCTCTGGTGCACATAGGTAGCAGGTAGCATGGATATTGGTGTCAGCGGAGGTCAGGGGCCTCTGGCCGGAGACAGTACTCTGTGTCCTCAGCTCCTATCTTTTTTTTTTTTTAATTAAATCTTTATTGTTCAGATTATTACATTTGTTCCTCTTTTTTCCCCCCATATCTCCCCTCCTCCCAGTTCCCACCCCACCCTCCGCCCTCACTCCCCACCCACTGTCCTCATCCATAGGTGCACAATTTTGTCCAGTCTCTTCCCGCATCTCCCACACCCCTTTCCCCCCCAAGAATAGCCAGTCCATTCCCTTTCTATGTCCCTGATTCTATTATAATCACCAGTTCATTCTGTTCATCAGATTATTTATTCACTTGATTCTTAGATTCACTTGTTGATAGATGCATATTTGTTGTTCATAATTTGTATCTTTACCTTTTTCTTCTTCCTCTTCTTAAAGGATACCTTTCAGCATTTCATATAATACTGGTTTGGTGGTGATGAACTCCTTTAGCTTTTCCTTATCTGTGAAGCTCTTTATCTGACCTTCAATTCTGAATGATACCTTTGCTGGATAAAGTAATCTTGGTTGTAGGTTCTTGGTATTCATCACTTTGAATATTTCTTGCCACTCCCTTCTGGCCTGCAAAGTTTCTGTTGAGAAATCAGCTGACAGTCGTATGGGTATTCCCTTGTAGGTAACTGAGTTTCTTTCTCTTGCTGTTTTTAAGATTCTCTCTTCGTCTTTTGCTCTTGGCATTTTAATTATGATGTGTCTTGGTGTGGTCCTCTTTGGATTCCTTTTGTTTGGGGTTCTCCGCGCTTCTTGGACCTGTAAGTCCATTTCTTTCACCAGGTGGGGGAAGTTTTCTGTCATTATTTCTTCAAATAGGTTTTCAATATCTTGGTCTCTCTCATCTTCTGGCACCCCTATAATTCTGATGTTGGTACGCTTGAAGCTGTCCCAGAGGCTCCTTACACTATGCTCGCATTTTTGGATTCTTTTTTCATTTTGCTTTTCCGGTTGGGTGTTTTTTGCTTCCTCGCATTTCAAATCATTGACTTGATTCTTGCGCTCCTCTGGTCTGCTGTCGGGAGTCTGTATAATATTCGTTATTTCATTCCGTGTATGCTTAATTTCTAGTTGGTTCCCCAATATAACATCGAGGGTCTCATTAGTTTTCTTGTAGATCTCATTAAGTTTATCGGCGGCTTCTAAACAGTTCTTGAGAGACCTTAAAAGTGTGGTTCTGAACTCTATATCTTCCATTGACAATTTTGTCCTGTTTCTTTGTCTCTGCATTTTGTTATGCTTCCTTGGTGCACTCCCTAGTGGTCTTTGTGCGAAGTCTTGTAGTTAAACCTTGATTGTTGTAGCTAATACCAGGGAGGGTTTGACCTCCAGGCCAAGTGGCTATGAGAATCAGCTGTGTCTGCAGTGAGAAAACTTCTGTCCTCTAGGGAGGTGCTAATCTAGCCTTTGCCTGAGGCTATCCGGCAAATGCCTGTGTGCAGGGCTTGGGCGGGGCGGGTCGCACAGGATCAACAGGGTGGGCCGGAGATAGCAGTTATGGCGGCTCTCAGTCCTGTCCCCTGGGGCTCTGCCTCTCTGAGTCCCAGCACCCGCTGCAAACCTCGGAAAAGCTGCACTCACTCTGACCGAAGCCAGACAGTCCCGTTTCTCCTGTTTGAGTCTGGGTCCCTAAAGACTCGCCTGTATCTGGAGCTCAGAGTCTGCGACTCCCTCCCGATTGAAAACGCCAACCGCGCCCTCCGCCGCCAGCCCGCTCCGCACACTCCGAACCTCAGAATTTGACTTCAGCACTGCGCCTCCTCTGAGTGTCCGTATGCGTTTCTCTTTCCTCCTAGTTGTAGGATTTCCACTCAGCCAGCGTTCCTGTGGTTCTGGGTGATGTCCGTTCCGTTTTTTAGTTTCACTTTTGAAGTAGTTGTTCAAGGCAGCAAACTCCAGCGTTAACCTATGCCGCCATCTTGGTTCCTCTCCTCAGCTCCTATCTTCTTGTAGGAACAAATTCAAATGAGACAACGAACAGCAGTAAAAGCAGAACAGAATTTATTTGCAAAAAAAGGAATGCCCTCAGATATAGTTTGAGCAGGCAACTCAGCCGGTGGAAACCTAACCAAGTGCCATCCTCAGTTGGGGTTGGGGAAACTTATACCCCTACTGGAGTGTCCCTAAGTAAGTCTGCCCCTCCCTTATTTCTCAAAAAAAATTTTTCCCCCCAAACTATCAGGCTCCTTCACCCAGGTGTTATGCCACCGGTTAGACCACATCCTGGAGGGCCTTGGAATTGTCCTCACAGAGGGGCCTGGTGCCTCCATTGTCTCATTGTGGTTTGTCACGTCTCACATGCATCCCCTCCAAGCCCAACTGCCTTACCCAGCTCATATCTTTCCTGCCGCCTGCTCTGACATTTACAGAAACATATTTGAAATACTCGGGTCTTATTTCACGTTACCCTTATCTTCCCTTAATGTAGAAAATGGACTTTATATGGAGGAGAGAGAGCAGTTCCACATTTCGATTTGAGGAGTTTCTTAGAGGTGACAACTAGGAGGAAGGCGAAGACTTTTGTCATGAAGCTGCATGTCCATAGTAAGTGTCCAAGTCTAATTCAGGAGCAAATTAAATAAAAATCGGGAGACTTTATTTTTTTCACCTTAGTTTCAAGGAAGCTGGTAGTTTCTTAGAAAGAAAAGAATCTGATTTTTGTTGTTGCTAAGGGAAGTTGAGACACGATTTTGAGTCATAGGTTACCTACGTATTTTCCTCGAACTGTTGGGTGAGCCATAAATGATCAGTTCCAGGTTATAAGGGTGAAGACTGTTCTTACTGTGGTGGCTTTTGGAAGCAACACATTTTGGGTAATGGGTGTACTAAAGTCTCTTTGGGATGTCATTGGAAACTGCAAATCCAAACTTAAGTCCTACGGAGTAAGGATCTTTTCAGGTCCCGGGAGAACAGAGCGAGAGTGGGACTCATTGCATTTAGCAATAAAGGACCTATTTGGAGGAACAAATACCACAACTGTGAATTTAGAGCCATGGTTGGACCTGGTGGTGGCTCTGAAGCCGCGAGGAATCTTGGAGCGCGGATTTTTGTTCTTTGATATATTGAAGCCCAGGGCAAGTTGTTTCAGTCAGCAGTGTATCAACATTTGTGTCCTCCCTGTGGAGGCATTTGGCTCTGAGACTGTCTCTAAGTTTAGAAGCTGCAGAGGCAAGAAGATAATATCCTTTCCCTATCAGCCCCTTCTCCCTGCAGACATCTGAGGGATACACAAATGAATAAATGCTAAGCCTTCCTTTTGATTTTGAAATCAATAATAAAAAAGGAAGGAGCAATTAAGAAGTAGATCAATAGCTGAACCAAAATAAGCACTTGGAATTTCCTTTTACTTTTGAAAAATGTCTTATATTAGACTGTGTGTTTTTTTTCTTTCCTGCTTCAGGTTTTCATTCTTTATACTGAAACAATGTAATAGTTTGAGTTCACTATTCTACAGTGATGTTGCATTGTATTTGCCCCAAATCATCTTTACTGAGGTTTCTCTTTCATCATGCCTTTTATGTTTTTAATTCAATGGTTGGCTTTACATGTGGTCAAAGGTTCCTAGGTACATACCCTCTTGCAGTGCGTACCCCTTCTCTGGGCCTGCAGAAATCTGCTTTTTACCAATCCATCTTCAAGTTATCTTTCAGGGAGGCTAGAACAAGGTTTTCAGGATTCTGCAGATTTCAAGATAATTTTAGTAGTAATTATAAAAACAAAGTGTTAAACAAGACTGGAGTTCATTTTTTTTAAAAAAGTGGAGGCATTCTTAAGGGAGAACTGTAAAAATTTTCAATCAAGGACTATCAAATTGAAAACTTCAGTTTGTTTTGTTTGTTTGTTTGTTTTATTTTGCTTTAAACTCATAGACAACCCAGCCTCTGTGGCTCAGTGGTTGAGTGTCGACCTGTGAACCAGGAGGTCACAGTTTGATTCCATGATCAGGACACATTCTTAGGTTGCAGGCTCC